TCCCATTGGCCATAACTCTTTCCCTATTGGCCCCATGTGCAAGGGCTGATGAGTCTTAACATTTTTTTAATTGAAATAAAAAATATATACTGAAAAGTGCAAAAATCATAAATGTATAGCTTGCCAAACTTTCATTGACAGAACACACATGCATAACCATCATGCAGGACACACACACACACACACACACACAAAGGAGTATGGTATTATCAGAACCCTCCCTTTATACCCTTTCAAGGATGACCACTGCTGTGTTCTGACAATAGTTTCACCTATATATAAATGAAATCATCCAAAAATCACTTGTCTCTGAATTCTTTGGCAAGATCTTACGTGACTATATATAAGTGTGTTGTAATACATATAAATGTACTATATATAAATGAAATCATCCAAAAATCACTTGTCTCTGAATTCTTTGGCAAGATCTTACGTGAGAATCAGCAGTATTGTTGGTTCCCAACCAAAAATTCTATTATTATGAACGGATAAACTATATATTTAGTCTCTCTCATTGTTTTCCATAATCTAATTGTTTTCTTTTTCCTAAAGCCTTTTATCAACTCCCTCACTCCATATTAGCTGATTACTTTGCTGAAAAATGAAATAAGTGAATTTATTTATCACTATATACTGCATTTATAATTATCTCCTTTCTTCTAGCCTCAAATGAATTAGCAATAACATTACTTCAGTCATATTCTGTCAAAGCAGTTGCAGGGCCTGCCCAGATTCAAGGGGTTAAAAAATTAAATGCAGTTGTTGTTTTCTAAAAAATATTTTTATTTCAGAGAAGGGAGAGGGAAAGAGAGACATTATGAGAAATATTGATTGGCTGCCTCCTGCATGCCCCACACAGGGAATCGAGCCCACAACCTGGGTGTCAGGGCCAGCCTGACAGGTGAACTGGGCTGAGGTAGAGAGGTGGGAATTAAAAATAAAAAAATAAAAAGACAGGAAAGTGGGATTGGGACAGCTGCAAGCCATTGACAGACTGCCACGGCTTTATTAACTGTGTAATGCCTTTTATACACAAACACTTGAATAGGAAGTCAGTCAAGAGAAAAGTATTATTTGTTCCTCTTAATCTCTAAGGGAGAGAGAGCAGAAGGACAAATTCTTGGTACAGCAAACCTCAGTAAATAGTTACTGAGACTTCTGGTAAGCCATGAATGGTTGCTCTCATTCTGCTGACAATTGGAAATCACCATCCAAACAGGTCAGGAAACACTGTGTGGGTAGGGGACTGAATCTTACCAGTCCCTTCGGGGACAAGGACTCTGTCAGCTTATACCCGATCTCCAACACCTGGGCATGTGCCCTGATGAGGAATCAACCCACAACCACCTGGTTCATAGGTAGATGCTCAACCACTGAGCCATGCCAGATGAGCTAAAATCCAGTTCTAAATGGACCACATTGCATAGGAGCATGTGGGGTAGGAGATTTTGTGGCCATCTTTGGAAAGTGCAGTCTACCACTTTCCAAAGATGGCCACAAAAAGCATTTACAGAACCAATAATATACTAACTTTCAGAACTGTGAGAATGAAGTGTTTTAAGCCACTAAGTTTTGTACCAGTTATCTATTGTCTCAGAATGCTGCATAACAAACCACTCCAAAACTCTGTGGCTTATAATCGTCAGCATTTACTATTGCTCACAAGTCTATAGGTCAGCTGGGTGGTTCTGCCAATCTGGGGTAGGCCTGGCTGATTTCAAATGGTATCCAATGTACCTGCAGTCGGTTGGCAGACTGGCTGGGGATAGCTCATCTAGCATAGCTTCACTTGCATATCTGGCTGTTTACCAACTACTGGCTGGTACAAAAGGTGACTGGGCCATGTGTCTCATTATCCAGCAGGATAGGCAAAGCTAGCCTTGTTACCATGGTAGTTGGGTAGGGTTCCAAAAGAACAAGCAGAAGTTTTCAAAACCTTTGGAAAAAAGTCTACTCAAACTGGCAACATTTTATTTCCTCTGCATTCCATTAACCTAAACAAGCCACAAGTTCAGTCCTCCAGATTTAAGAGGTAGGTAAAGAAACTCAACCACCTGGTGGGAAAAATTACATTGCAAAAGTCATGAAAACATAGAGGGTTAAAAAATTGAGGGTATAATACAATAAATCTAACCCAAATAAATAAAAACCTAATTGTTTCATTGACCTATAAAAGTTCAATCCCTTAAGATAGATATCTATATAAATTTTTAAATTTAATTTTATTATGGACAGTATTACAGATGTTCCCCCAACTCCCCTCCTCCACCCAACCCTGCCCACTCCAACTCAGGTCCTCATTACATTGCTGTGTCCATAGACCATGCATATATGCATAGAATTCTTTTTTTTTTTTTAATATATTTTATTGATTTTGTATAGAGAGGAAGAGAGAGGGGTAGAGAGTTAGAAACATCGATGAGAGAGTGTCATCGATCAGCTGCCTCTTGCACACCCCCTACTGGGGATATGCCCTTGACCGGAATCGAACCCGGGACCTTTCAGTCCCCAAGCCGACGCTCTATCCATTGAGCCAAACCGGTTTCGGCTATGCATATAATTCTTTAATCTCTTCCTACCCCCTTCCCTCTGAGATCTACCAGTGTGCTACATGAATCCATGTCTCTAGACCTATTTTGTTCATCAGTTTATTCTGTTCATTATATTTTATGTGTAAATGAGATCATGTGATATTGATATTGGAACCGGAGAGCAGGAATTCTTCTCAGGGTCATGTTTCACGGAATGAAGCCATGGAGAAGAGGAGTTCAAACAAGGCAGGAGTTTATTGCAAGCAAACAAAGACTCCCTGTTCAGGGTGAGAATCCAGGTGGGTTGCCACCAAAACATTCTGTTCTTCCCCCTGTATCTGCTAACGGCCCATTCTTTGTCTAACTGTGCCAGTCTTTGATTTGTTCCTGGCCATTTTGCAACATTTTATTTTGTACTTGTAAGAAAGATATCCTTGTCTCAAAACATCCTATTTTTCTGCTATCCTGCTATTCTCCAAAACATTTTGTGGTTTTGGCTATCTCCAAGATCCCTCCTTCTTTGACCCTATACCCTATCTACCTAATTCTGCTTCTCACTCCTAAGTATAACATGAAACCCCTTTTGTTTTAATTCAGCTCTCACTAGCTTAGTTCCATCCTTTCCTATTCTTCCTATCTTATCTAATAAAAGAGTAATATGTAAATTGACCATCACTCCAACACACAAGATGACTGCCCCCATGTGGACACAAGACGGCTACCACAAGATGGCCAGCAGGGGAGGGCAGTTGGGGGGCGATCAAGCCTGCAGGGAGGGGGGGGGCAGTTAAGGGTGACCAGGCCAGCAGAGGAGGGAAGTTGTGGGGGACTGGTGATCAGCTGGCAGGCAGAAGCAGTTAGGGGCAATCAGGAAGACAGGCAGGTGAGCAGTTAGGATCTAGCCGTCCTTGATTGTGAGAGGGATCCCAGATTGGAAATGGTGCAGGCTGGACTGAGGGACACAGCCCCCATGCACGAATTTCATGCACTGGGCCTCTAGTTCTATTTATAAAAGCACAGTTGATTTTTTCCCCCCACATAAAAGTTAACTTACACTATAGGGATTCAATAAAGCTCCCAATACCATAAGCTAGAGAACAAGTAAGTTAATTACAAATGCAAATTAATTCTTCTGTATCCAGTCTGAAGCAACTACATAATAGAGTAAGTGAATCAGACAACTCAAAGGTCAACAAGTGAACTTTAATGAATAATTTTGGTAAAAGTGTTTTTGCACAGATATGCAAGTCTAAAGAATATAAAAATGAACAAAAACATTCTTTCTCTCCTTAAGTGTCTAGTACAGCTATGACTCAGTTTAAATTATATATTTCAGAGTTTAAAAACCAAGAAACTGACACAGTTTTGCAGTTAAACTTGAGACACTTACATTTATTGTTCTAACACTGGACATACTGTAATTTGTTACTCTTATTGATAGGTTTGCCTTTTAAAAGTTTTCCTAGGAAAAAAAAATATAAGAAAAAAGTAACTATATATATTAGCATCATTCTTCGAAGATTATTTAGGAATAACACAGTCTTAAGTATAGCTCAATTTTTAAAAACAATGACAAAATGCTGTAATGTTACTCTTTTTTTCAGGATCTGTTACTGAAAAATACATGAGTATTAAAAAAATAATTTGTCCTGGCACTGGTGGGATGAACTTACATCTATACTGTTCACAAAGTCAACACATACAGTGTCTCTTTAAAAAAGATCAATACTAACAATTAACATGAAGAAGAGAAGCGAACTTGTGGAGGTGCATTCATTCCAGTGTACTATTAATCCTCGTCAGGTTTCACTAGCACATTCCTAAAAACAGATACATACTCTAATTTCACAGATATTTACAATTTAACTTTCCCTAGAGATATAAAGTATACTTACCTCTTTGACAGCTCCAGTCTTAATTGCAAAAAGTCTCCTAACACATTTTTTCATCACGGGTAGCTATCAGTGTTTCTTAAGAGGAATATGACTAGCATTGTGAATAAGAAATTCTTAGTTGTTTGTGGCCATTCCAAATACTGCAGAACATGTAGCATTCCTGACTCATTCACTAAAAGCCAGCAAGTTTCACAATCACTGTGAAACATGCCACATTTCCAACTGCTCCTTGGATGAGAACCACTGAGTTAGACCCAAGATTAATGTAAAGTAATTTCATAATTTTCACAGAAACTAACTGCTTCAGAATCTTCAGTAACAATGACAGAAGAACGTTTTATTAAAAACACATTATAATTAAATGTTACTTTAAAAAGATAAGCTAATTTCTTTAAACTTATGATGATCTGAAAGGATCAGTAACATAAAGTGCAATCTCTATTTATCCCCAAATGCACACATATATTTACAGGAAAATAACTGCTTATATCTTACTCTACCTATCTTAGTATAAAAATATTTTTGTCTACTACAATAAGCTAAAAAAACATGTAGAGTTTCTTAATAAATTCCCTCACACTGATGGTCCTGAAAACTGCTGCTGTCTTTGCTCCAAAACTTGCTGATTTAATAGCTGTTGTTGTTTCTGTAAAAACTGCACCACTTCTGGGCTTCTTAATAATGACTTAAAAAGAAAAAAAGAAAAAAACATGTTTATTAATAGCATTATTTTTATGGGATTAGATTGTAAACATGATGACATTATTGCTATGTCCTTACACAAGATACAATACACTTAGAAAACAAAACATACCTAAGTTAGTGTCTGCATCTTATACACTGCATTTAAACTCTCCTATCTAATGAAAGAGTACTATGCAAATTGACTGTTCAGTTCTTTATTACGGTATGCTTCTTGGTGTTCCGCAAGTTTTTCCCCCCTGGCCTTTGTTCTGTGGTGGGAAACTTACAAATGTCCGTTAGTCCTAACATTTCTCTCCTCTTTCTATTTGTTAGTAATTATTCATACAGAATTGGAAACTGACCAGCCAGCAGCTTGGTATGTCCCATTAATATAAATTATCAGAACAATTCATAATGTATTTATTAGATACTGGAAGATCTAATAATGTCTGACTTTTACTAGAACACCCAGTAAAAGTCAGACATTAACAACAGGAAGCTACTGCAGCCAACCTTTAGAGAAAATATCCCTGCATCCTTTTCCCAGACAGTGAGTCCCAATGCATAAAGGACCTCATATGTGACTTTCTTCCCAAAATGAATGTATCCTATCCAATAAAAGAGTAATATGCAAATTAACCATCATCCGGTATGCCCACAAGCCAGACCCACCAGCCAATCAGGAGCAAGTATACAAATTAACCCAACCAAAATGGCTGCAGCCAGGGAGCAAGCAGGAGTTTTGGGTTTCCCTGGCAATGGAGGAAGCCAAACTTTCCAAACACACCCTGGCCAGCCCAGGCCTCCACTCAATGCTACGAAGTTTCAATTATAGAAGATAAATAAATCCCAACAAAAATGGCAGCAGCCACGGAGCTGGAGTGAGCAGGAGGCTTGAGTTTCCCCGGCAATGCAGGAAGCCAAGCTTCCCACAGCTGTGGCCTGCCTTGTCTCTGCTCAAGGCTACAAAGTTTCAATTACAGAAGATAAATAAATCCCAACAAAAATGTCTGCAGCAGTGAAGCAAGCAGGAGGCTTGGCTCCGCTCAAGGCTACAAAGTTTCAGTTATAGAAGATAAATAAATCCCAGATACCAGGGCCTCTGCTTAGGTCACCAGGGGGGGGAATGGACAGCTTGCAAACCACCACAGGCCCCTCACCCAGGCCACCCCACACGCCAAGGGAACCCTGATCCGAGACACCCTTCAGGACAAACCAGCTGGCCCCCACCTGTGCACCAGGCCTCTAACCTATCTAATAAAAGAATAATATGCAAATTGACTGTCACTCCAACATACAAGATGGCTGCCCCCATGTGGAGACCCAGGCCTTCAGGGGAGGGCAGTTAGGGGTGAACAGGCCTGCAGGGGAGGGAAGTTAGGGCAAACAGGCTTGCAGGGGAGGATTTAGGAATCAATCAGGCTGGCATGGGATTAGGGGGTGATCAGGCTGGCAGGCAGAAGCAGTTAGGGGCAATCAGGCAGGCGAGGGTTGGGAGCCAGCAGTCCTGGATTGTGAGAGGGGTGTCTAACTGTCTGTTTAGGCCTGGGCATCACCCAAGGGGTCCCAGATTGTAGAGGGTGCAGGCTGGGATGAGGGGCACACACACCCATGAAAGAATTTCATGCATCAAGCCTCTAGTAAAATGACAAAATTTGATATCATACATCAAAATACTAAAATCTAAAAACAAAACCTGATCTTATTTGTGACTTCGTACACAAAGGAAATGTTTTATATGATATAGAGGCCTGATGCATGAAATTCATGCAAGAGTAGGCTCTCATAGCCCCAGCTTTGTCTGAAAGGTCACCTGGAAGGTTGTTTGGATGGACATCTGGGCAGCTATTGGGTTGATTTGCATATTACTTTTATTATTATAGATGCCAGCATATATACTCTCTAAAAAACCTAAGAGTAAATAGCCAAAAGCACTGACCCAGGATTAGAGCAAGGAAAATGAAAAGAGGCCACATGTGAAAATGGCAGGTAAATGACACTCTGAAAATACATTTAAGACTGGTATTAGAACTCAAATTTCTCCACGAACTTACTAAATTTTTCTGAAGAAATAAAAAAATTGTGTGTTTATTTGGTGTGTGTGTTTAAATATAGGTTATGTGTGCACCGATAGGTACATTACCAAAATTTCTGAAAAGAAAGAATACAACTTCTTTAAAATAGCCAATATTTTAGAACATGTTTCATTTTAAAATACAGTTGTAAACATATAACAAATATAATAGACTATGGCTAATGTGCTTTTTTTCTATAATAAAATAGATATAAAATTGATGAAAAATAAAACTCTGGCTCCAGTAAACTGAAAAAGATAAACTGAAAAGATGAAATAGAAATACTATCATTAAACACTAATTTTAAAATAGCACATAGCACAGTACATTTTCTATTTATTAGTTTTATCTAAAATTTAGTTGTATAAACTATCCAACATTTTATTAAATAAATGTATAACAGTCTTCTTAATTTTTATGAAACTGTTGAGCATTTAGATTGTTTATACTACTATTTTACTATTTATGATAAATATATTTCTGACAATATCTTTATGCTTAACATTATTCATATTTCGGGTTTATTTTCTGCGAACATCTTTATAGTAAATATGATTTCTGAGTCAAAGGGGATGCTTGAAAGTGTTCAACTGCTTTCTAGAAGCATTGTGCCAATATATGATGCCACCAACCAAACAAAATTAGAGTGCCTATTTCATGGAAACCTCAATATCACTATGTTATTTAAATTGTTTCCACTTATGGCTATTGTTTATTATATTATCACAATACTGCATTACTGTATACCTTTGTATATAATTTAATGGTAGAAATTCTGCTGTTTCCTCCTTGTTATCTTTTACAATATACTGAAGCCAAATTTTTTCCTCAGCAACTCATATTTTACATAACAAAAATGTTAACCATAGTTTTTTAATATTTGCTACAAATATTTTTCCTGTTATTTAAGTATGCATTTTTATTTTTTACCATTTTTTACTTTAATGCATTATTATTATTATTATTTTAATATATTTTATTGATTTTCCACAGAGAGGAAGAGAGAGAGATAGGGAGCTAGAAACGTTGATGAGAGAGAAACATCGACCAGCTGCCACTTGCACACTCCCCACTCGGGATGTGCCCACAACCAATGTACATGCCCTTGACCAAAACTGAACCTGGGACCTTTCAGCCCACAGACCAACGCTCTATCCACTGAGCCAAACCGGTTTCGGCAATGCATTGTTATTTTATCACCATTTTTTACTTTAGCATTTTTTACGTAGTCAAATTTATAATCTTCTCTGAAATTCTGTCTACTTCTTTTAAACTAAAAAATTCCCATTCCAAATTTAAAAAATATATATATTAATTTTTATAACTATTTAAAAACAAATGAGTATGAGTCTTTTTTGAGAGAGGAAGGGAAAAGGAGAGAGAAACTTCTATGTGAAAACTGTGGGTTGAGCCCACAACCCAGGCATGTGTTTTAACAGGAAATCAAGCCGGCAATTTTTCTGTGCACAGGACAACGCCCACAAGGGCCAGAGTTTCCATTCCAGATTTTTGAGATAAAATCCTAATTCTATTTTTTTAATTAAAAAAAAAATCTTTATCAGGAATTTATTTCCATTTATAGTGTCCTTTCTTTTTGTCCTCAAGGTATTATCCAGCCGAAACCAGTTTGACTCAATGGATAGAGCATCGGATTGGGAACTGAAAGGTCCCAAGTTCGATTCCAGTCAAGGGCATGTACCTTAGTTGCGAGCATATCCTCAGTAAGGGGTGTACAAGAGGCAGCTGATAGATGACTCTCTCATCAATGTTTCTAACTCTCTCTCTCTCTCCCTTCCTCTCTGTACAAAATCAATAAAATATATATTTTTTAAAAAGATATTATCCAATTATTCCAGTATTTGAATAATCTCTCCTAAGTTCTGATATCTTCTATCAAATTTATAATAGAAATCCTTATTAAATATTAGTATATTATATTTCAACATCATTAGAGCATTATTCCACAAACTGCAGAATTCAATATAAGAAGTTTATTTTAAAATCCCAACTTGCTCAGATATCCAGGCTTAGGCAATGAAGATATAGGATTAAAAGTATTCCTGCTCAGCCATGCACTAAGATGTCATGGGTTCCATTCCTAGTCAGGGCACATGCCTGGATTTCAGGCTCCATTCCCAGTAGAGGGTGTGCAGGAGTCGGCCAATCGATATTTTGATGTTTCTCTCTCCCTCCCAGTTCCCTTCCTTTGTCTCTCTCTAAAACAAACAAACAAACAAACAAAAACAACAATATAAAAACTTTAAAAATTCCTGCTCATATACTCTTGTGAGAAAATTATGAGCATTCATGTAGAGGCACAATTCTGATTTGTCCAACAATTTTTAAAATCTAAACTTTCCATTTATAACAAACAACTTTTGTTAATAGACTTGTAAATACTTAAAAAACAGATACTTACCAGTCTTTTTTGATTTAACACTTGTTCTAAAAGTGTAGGTCTTGCAGGACGATCCCCCAACGCTCCTGTTCTTTGTTTAACAATTGAGAGAATGCTATCTGTAGTTTCCTAGAATAAATTATAAAAGTGCAAATAGGATTAACATTTAAGAAAGTAATTCATGATTACAGCCATTTCTATGATGACGTAAATAGGTCTTCCTTTTTGTCCAGTCCCTGGACAAGTAATAGGCAACATGTTGACAATTAAGTTCATTTAATACTCCTCACTCCCTCTCTCTCTCTAGGACAGTGGTCGGCAAACTCATTGGTCAACAGAGCCAAATATCAACAGTATACAATTGAAATTTCTTTTGAGAGCCAAATTTTTTAAACTTAAACTTCTTCTAACGCCATTTCTTCAAAATAGACTTAGCCCAGGCCATGGTATTTTGTGGAAGAGCCACATTCAAGGGGCCAAAGAGTTGCATGTGGCTCTCAAGCTGCAGTTTGCCAACCACGGCTCTAGGATTTCAAACCTGGGGTCTTCAGTATCTTTAAGGATCTTAAAATTAATAGTGGGGCAGAAGTAGTGCTAGGGAGGGGTACAAAGAGTTACTTGTGAGCTATTTATTGTCAATCTTATAGAAAATGCCTAATAAAATTGAATATTTTCTCCATAAAAGCTATCCAGGCCAAAACAAAGTCTGCCTGCCTTTGGATTGAATATATGAACTCAAAGGCAAATTACATGTTAGACGTTCTAACTGGCACTTTTTTGTCCAAATAACAAAAATAGGGGGGAAGGGGGGGAGGCAGTAAAATTGCTTAAGGCAACAACTGACAAGACAAAGCTTTCAAAATTTACAAGTTTTAAGGAGAAAAATTACAAACTTGTTTTAAAAAAGACTGGAAAACACTAGCATAAACAAAATAAGTGAGTCTTAAAAGGACATTATGACATCATTACCCAAACAAAATCAGTAGCACTTCCTACCAAATATGTACCCCCATAGTTATCCGAGAGAATCTTATACACTTAAATTTTCCTGGCATAACAAAATATGGTGTACTGTTCTAGTTGACTCCAACATTCTCAATACATGATATAGTATGGACCACATCCAAAAATTCTCACTAAAAAAATATAAAACTGTATATGTCTTATTTTATAGTCATGTCTACTGTGAGTTGACCCATCTCTTTGCTCTTCATTTAGGTTATTATCAAAACTGTTTTTTTCTCTTGGGCTTCACTCTATTGCTTCCGAATTGTCTATTAGAATATCCCTTTATTTTTTTCATTATAAGAAAAGCAAGGCTTACAGAAGGATGTTCCTTCAGAAGGAAACAGCACTAAAAGCACCTCAAATCAAGATGAGTGGGTTACTACCCCAATAAACACATTTTGGATTTTTTTTAAAAATGTCCAATACCTAAACAATTTAGGCTTCAAGTATAAAATAAAGTAAAATAAAATAAAATAATAAAATAAAATAATAAAATAAAATAAAATAAAAGTAACAACTGAAAAAGAGTATTCTAATACCCAGGGAAAGCCAAAGTAATTTCTCCCTTCCTCTTTCCTTAAAGGGTTAACTTTATCTATGGGGTTAATTTTTAAAATTAAACTTATTGGGAAAAATTAATCATCTTACATAATAAAACCCTAATATGCAAATCGACCCAACAGCGGAATAACCAGTTGCTATGATGTTCACTGATCAGTAGGGGGCATATGCTGAACACGGGAGCTGCTCCCTGGTGGTCAATACACTCCCATGGGGGGAGAGCCACTCAGCCAGAAGTCAGGCTGATGGCTGGCGAGAGCAGTGGCAGTGGAGGTAGCCTCTCCTGCCTCCGCGGCAGTGCGAAGGACCCCTTGAGGGATGTCCGACTGCCAGCTTAGGTCCGCTCCCTGCCAGCAGGCGGACATCCCCTGAGGGATCCCCCTCCCCTCCAGTGCATAGGGCCTCTAGTATTATATAAATTTCAGTTGTACATCTTTATAATACACATTTGTATACTTGATTGTATGCTCACCACTTGAAGTCTAGTCTTCTTCTGTCACCATATATTTAACCCCCCTTTTTCTCTTCCACCTCCCCCAAATCCTTTTTGCCTCTCATAAACACCACTCTGTGGGACTATTTCATTTTTATGTATCCAAAAATAGAATGCTGAAATTAACTTGATGGCAGAGTATCTTGTATTCTGGATAATCCCTGACAAAGTACTATGTAAATTCAGAATGCTAATATCACAAAATCATAGAAAGTTGTAGTGGAAATAACCTTGCATTGTCTAGTCCAAACTTTTATAAATATTGGAATTCCCTTTTAAAAGATTTTGAATGCTTTTTGTCCTAAGAAGTTTAACTAACTTTTGAGGCAACCCATTTGGTTTTGAAAAGCTCTAACATTTAGGTGGTTTTTACTTAGATTCAACTTTTACATATATATAAATGTGCTCCTTATTTAACCTTGATTTGTGTAAGAAATACTGATTTAAATACATTAATTTCTAATCTTGCTGCTCAAACTATAGCAGAAGACCCACATCATCATCATCTATGAGTCCCTACTATAATGATCTCCCTAAAGAGTCTATACAGCTATCGCCTTTTGACTTTAATCCCACCCCAATAAAGTAGGAACCCCAGTAACTCCCTAAACAGAAACTTTCACTTAAAGACTCCAAATCCAAAATCTAGAACCAGGCATTCAATACTATATAAAAATTGGCTTCAAACCCTATCTCCACATTTATCTTTCATAAATTTTTTCACACAAAAAATGGGCAAAGAACCTAAACAGACACTTATCTACTAAAGTGAACACACTAGTACGGATGGCCAAGAAAATGAAAAAATACTCAAAGTCACTAATTATTAGAGAGATGCAAATTAAAATGGCAATGAGACATCACCTCACACCTGCTGAATGGCCAGCGTCAAAAATCACCTAAATTGCCGAAACCGGTTTGGCTCAGTGGTAGAGCGTCAGTCTGTGGACTGAAAGGTCCCGGGTTCGATTCCGGTCAAGGGCATGTACCTTGGTTGCGGGCACATCCCTCGTGGGGGGTGTGCAGGAGGCAGCTGGTCGATGTTTCTCTCTCATTGAAGTTTCTAGCTCTCTGTGGGAAGCCGTGTTCTGTGTGGCCCGAAGGCAAGGATGGAGCACAGGGTAGGGATGCCTACCTGCTCTCCCCTAAGCCTTCAGGGTCAACAGGGCAGACCATAGCCCCATTGTTAGGGAGTGCGTGTGATGCATAACTTATCTGGATGTTCTCAGCTAAGCTGTTCTCAATATCTAGCCAGATGCCTGCTCTATGTATCTTTTTCCAAGAACGCCTTAAGGAGCTGACGGGCGGCCTTGTCCTGGGAAAGGGGCACTTGGAGAAACGCCCAGAAAGGCCGCATAAATGTACGCCTGCAACTAATAAAGCTGCTGCAGTCTCACCATGGACTAGCAGTCCTCCTGAAGCCCCGCTTTCTCTTGTCTTTATTTCTCTTAAACCTCCTAGCCCTACCTTCAGGACCTGTGATACCGGCTGGATCTGGTACTCTCCCTTCCTCCCTGTAAAGGATCAATAAAATATATATTTTTTTAAAAATCACCTAAATTATTTTTGAAAAGTAACGTTATTAAAGTTGTATTTTTTTGGGGGGGGGGGAGGGGAAAGATTGTAATTCAGTATCAATTTACCTTTTATACATTTTCCTCAAGCTATAGATGGAAATGCTGGCCCATTTTTAAAAAAACAATAGGGATCAAAAAACTATGGTACATCTACACAATGGAATAATATACTGCCATAAAAGACGGAATTCTTATCATTTGCAGCAACCTGGATGGGATTGGAGAACATCATGCTGAGTGAAAGCCAGTCAATTAAAGAAAAACACCACATGATCTCACTCATTTATGGATAATAAAGAACATTATAAACTGATGAACATAAAGATAGATAGATAGTAAAGCAACAGACTGTCAAATTACAGCGGGGAGGGTAGGGAGATTTGGGGGAGATAAGAGATCAACCGAAGGACTTGTATGCATGCATATAAGCAAAACCAATGGATGAAAAGCTCTGGGGAGGGAGGGCATGTATGAGAGGGGAGGCAATGGTAAGATATGTACACATAATATACCTTAATAAAAAGAAAGAAAGAAAAAAGACAATAGCTCCACGTAAATAACATCTTTCTTGAAAAATGCAAATAAGTACATTATCTTCTCTCTCTGAAGTGAACTATGAAGTGAATGGGTACCTTTGGAATATACAAAAAGATAAACGACCACCTTTACTGACTTTCACTCTGTAATAAGTGTGATGTTTATTTCCATAATTGCTTGTAATCTGAGACGTGGTAAAATATTGCATTTTACAAGGATATGGATGGGGCAGTTTTTAAACCTAAGATCCATAGGCATCCTGAACTCCATGAATGTGTATAAAAAATTAAATATCTACAAATGTGCATTTTTCTGGGAAAAGGGTTCATTGGGTGTCATCAAATTCTAAAAGAAGTCCTTTTACCATAAACAGATTAAGACTCAGTGGAATGAAAGGGAATGAGAAGTCAGAAGACCCTAATCAGTGTGAATTAAGTACATGTTTGTGACTTCAGATATTAGAAATATTTAGAACATTACATTTGTAAACAATTACAAAATCTAAAATTTGAGCAATGAGGCAGCTGTTCAAGTCCAGCCAAAAACTAACTAATTTAAACACTTTTAAAATACATTCTAGGACAGCTCTCAGTTTTAAAAATTATTTTCTGAATCACTTTTAACAAAATTCAAGTTTTCTCTGCACTGAAGAAGTATTAAAAGAAGGAAAACACACAGGATGAATTATCTGCTTTCTTCAATAACCTCAAAGAATACCACTAATAATCTATAATAATAAAAGCATAATATGCTAATTAGATCCTACGTCTGTCCTTCCAGAGGAAGCCAGGGAAGAAGGCCTACTCGAGGGAATTTCGGGCATTGGGCCTCCAGTGACACCAGTAATAGCTAAGGCTTATTGACTTTTACTATCTGCTGGACACCGTATGAACACTCAATACGGAATACCTCATGTATTCACAGTAACATTTTGAACTAGGCACTATTTTAACAGCTTTTTTACAGATGAAGAAACTTAAGCTTAAAAGAGTTCAAGGGCACATGGCCAGGAAATGATAGAATGGAGATTTGCAGTCAGCAGTCCAATACCAGCCTACTGACTTTAACTGGCAACACAGTTCAATTCAAACAATCTAAAAATTTCTGAGGCATATACCCAATTTATTATTCAATTTTTTTTCTCCAGAGGTACTAAAAAAAAAAAGTAGTAGTGAGAACAGGGGACTAAGCATGGGTTTACTGAGAATAGGGTATTAAGTATAGGGATACAGGAAGCAGAGTGCTAAGAACTGTGATACTGACAATAGGCAGGGTAGTGAAAACAGTAAGAGATTACCTTCTCCAAAGTACCAATTTCATCTGGGTTCCTGTCGCTTTGCCTGCTCCTTTAGTGATGAACCGGATCAATCATTTACTATCTGTCCTTCCAGTTCATATCCCAGACCTTAGAAATTACATCTTTTCTGAAGTGCAACATCATTTTCATTAAAATTTATTCATCTATTACAAGGATGCAACAGAACTATTAATAAGGCTTTGCACACGTTTGTATGAACTTTAATTTAAGGCAAGCACTCGCTCTCAAGCCTCAAGTCCAGCCAAGCAACACAGTCCATATCAGGGCCAGCGGGCAGGGCAGGAAATGAGGTTTGCACAAGAATGGGTTTGCTTCCCTCCCCCCCTCTCCCCACTAAGACCCTAGTTAAAGTCTAATACCTCCAGTTTGACGTTCCCCGCACTGCCAGCCGGGGCGGCTCCACCGCAATTCAGGGCCTGGTCACTTTTCTTCTTTTTGTACTTATCCTTGTACATCTTGTTGCGGTGTTTCTTGCACATCCACGGCTTGCGTTGCTTGGCCACCTGGCTCGTGGTTTCGCTGCAGCCCTCGTAAGTGCAGGTCTTGCACTGGCTGCCCCCGCCGCTCGCCCGCCTCTGGGCCTCCCCGCTGCCGCCCTCGCCCCCCGAGTGGGTCTCTTCGTCCTCCAGGTCCTCCACGCTAGCCGCGCTCTCGCCTCCCGCCGGAGGGTCCGAAGCGTCCAGCAGGTCGGCCTCGTCCTCCCCCGCGTCCTCCTCTCCATCCCCCACCACTTCACAAGGAACAGGCTGGCCCGCCCCGGCACCGCCCCCCAGAGCAGGAGCCCGCCGCAGGGCGCCCCCGGCCGCAGCTTCCTCCCGCCGGCCGCCCGGATGCATCACCAGGAAGGTGAGGGGCGAGGCGCTTGCCGGGCCGCGGGCTGGAGCCAGGGCCCCGGGGCGGAGCGCACCGCAGGCGGCAGCCAGCCCCGCGCCCTCGGCCACACCCTGCACCTCCGTGGTGCTGAGAGCCGGCGGGAGTCGAGTGCCAAGTCACCTCGCAAACCCCACTCCAGACCCGCGGCAGGAAAAGGGGCGGGCCGCAGCGGGCCGAACTGCGCCTGCGCGGCCGCGCGGACCAATGTTACGGTGCTTCCGGGGAGCTAACGGCCACGGCGCCTCTTAGGGGCGGGGCTGAGCGCTGCGGGCAGAACTGACTATGCAGGTGCCATCCCGCGGCCGGCGGAAGCCCCCTGCTCCTTGCGTGTGCAGAATTCTAGTGGCAGTAGGCAAGATAGCGCTTTAAAAACAGACAACAACAAAAAACCCTGAAACCTACACTGTTTAAAACGTTGCAAAGAACTTTTGTTTTAAGTACATTGATTGATCCTGAGCGACCTCATGACTTGTGGCATTAGGATGCTGATTGTAAGATATGCGCAAGCTGCCGGAAATGGAGGTGTGAAGCTGCCGGAAATGGAGGTGTGAAGCTGGCATGTAGTAGTGTCATTAAGTGGCTCATTAAGTGGCACCATCAGATAGCAGTGGGTGAAGGCAGAGACGACATATCTGAAAATGGTATAGTAAAGAGGGAGTGGGCCAGACCTGCGGCCAAGTTGTTCTTGTGTTGAAAGCTAAATGGTTTTCTTTAAAAAAAAAAAAAAAAATTACTTATTAAGGTATACATATGTGTCTTCATCTCCTCATTACTCCCTTAAACCCCCACACACACACTCATGCCCTTACTCTCCTGTTGTCTGTGTCCATTGGTTAAGCTTATATGCATACTCTTGTTAATCTTCACCAGAGGATGTTTTTTCCCATTGCTATTTTAGAGCAGTGGTCAGAAAACCATGGCTCTAGAGCCACATGCAGCTCTTTGGCCCCTTTAGTGTGGCTCTTCCACAAAATACCACATGTGGGCGCACTCCTGCAGTGCAATTGAAACTTTGTGGCACACGCGCAGAAGCTGGTTTTCAGCCTGGGCAAGTCTATTTTGAAGAAGTGGTCCTAACACCTAGCCACCTTCAAGGGGCCAAAGAGCTGCGGTTTGCTGACCACTGTTTTAGAGGAAAGAAGGTGAGAGGGTGGGGAGGAAGGCAGCATTGATGTGGGAAAGACACATGATTGGTTGCCTTAGACCAAGGGATCAAACCTGCAACCCGAAGTATGCATGCTGTTGACCAGGAATCCAATCCAGGCCTGCAGTCTAACCACTGGGTACTGGGGATGTGCCCCCCTTGCCTCAGCAACTGGCCAGGGCTAAATTATTTACTCCTTTTTAAAAACAAAACAAAACATATGTTTATGGATTTCACAGAGGAAGGGAGAAGGAGAGATAGAAGCGTCAATGATGAAAGAGAATCACTGATCTGCTGCCTCCTGCATGCCCCCTATTGGGGATGAGCCTGCAATCCAGATATATGCCATTGACTGGAATCAAACCCAGGACCCTTCAGTCTGATGCTGCTTTAACCACTGAGCCAAATCAGCTAGGGCTAAATGATTTACTCTTGATAAATTTGTTTTTCTCTTTTAGAACTTAATTGTTAATATTATGGTAGACATGAACAGAACAAAGACAATGGGCCGTGTACAGAAGGTCACCAGGACAGAAAGTCCCAGATGCCTAGCAAAGGATAATTGTAGGGTGGGATCTCACTCCCAGAGTGACCTTTCCTCCTCTACATATCTCTGATACTGTGGTTTGGACCCTCTGACCTTTCCTCCCTAAAGATAACATCTAAGCCTCAGTTTTCTCAGCTGTAGGCCCACATAAGCAATAAAACAGCCACAGCTTACTTAAGTACCAGCTGCATTGAATAATGATCCCCTGCCCTGGTGCTGGCCAATCAATCAGTGGAGATCACAACCCAGAATGGGCTCATCTGGAAAACTGTTGAATATTCTATTTAGATCTTCCCCTAAAAGCTCCACTCTTAACCCTTAGGAAGAAGGACCTAGTGAGCTCTCCCTCCCAGGAACACCTCTGTGCCTCCATTTCCTCCTCCCCTTCCCTAAACCTCCCCCCAGGCACCTAACTACTAGCTTTCTCACTCCCAAGCTTCTTTTAACTCTATAACTTGTTTCCCAAGCCCATTTCTTCTAGAAATTATTTTCTGCCTCTGTGATTAGCCAAATAAATATTTTCTTAGAGAATTAGTCTTGGCTCTTAATTCTTTCCTAGCCAAAAGTCAGTACCAAGGTTGCAGAAACCTGGTCAGTGTGAAACAATGAGTCTAACACCAATGCTCTTCCCTCCCCCTAAAATATTATGATAGTGGGGAATGACACATAATAAGAATACAGCCACAGTTGTTTAAGGATTATGCACCTTAGTCAAATGAAAATTACATTTTTAATTTTTGAAGAAATCCATAATATTTTCCACAGGGGCTTTAACAGTCTGCATTCCCACCAGAAGTGCATGAGGGTTCCTGTTTCTCTACATCCTCCCCAGCATTTGCTATTTGTTGATCTGAATAGATCTTTATTGTTCTGATTATTACAGGTGTTCCTCTTTCCCCCACCCCCATAGCTCCCCTCCACCCAATTCCCCACTCCATCCCATGCCCTTCCCCCTGCCACTGTCTTTATCCATAGGTCTAAGATTTTTGTCCAATCTCTTCCCTCACCCTTCAGACTGAGAATTGTCAGTCCACTCCCTTTCTATGTCCCTGATTCTATTATATTCACCAGTCCATTCTGTTCTTCAGACTTTTTATTCACTTGATTTTTAGATTCACTTGTTGGTAGGTATGTATTTGATGTCTTATCTTTTTGTTGTTCATCATTTTTACCTTTACCTTTTTCTTCTTCTTCCTCTTCTTAAGAAATACCCTTCAGCATTTCATGTAATCCTGGTTTGGTGGTGATGAACTCCTTTAGTTTTTTTCTTATCTGTGAAGCTCTTTATCTGATCTTCAATTCTGACTGATAGCTTTGCTGGGTAGAGTAATCTTAGTTGTAGGTTCTTGCTGTTCATCACGTTGAATAATTCTTGCCACTCCCTTCTGGCCTGCATAGTTTCTGTTGAGAAATAAGATGACAATTGTATGGGTGCTCACTTGTCGCTAATTAACTGTTTTTCTCTTGCTGCTTTTAATATTCTCTCTTTGTCTTTTGCCCTTGGCATTTTAATTATGATACGGTGTCTTGGTGTGGTCCTCTTGGGATTCCTTTTGTTTGGGGTTCTGTGCACTTCCTGGACTTGTAAGTCTATTTCTTTCACCAGGTAAGAAAAGTTTTCTGTCATTATTTCTTTCAATATGCCTTCAATATCCTGCTCTCTTCTTCTGGCACCCCAAAAATCCAGATGTTGGTACACTTAAAGCCATTATAGAGGCTCCTTACACTATCCTCACACTTTTAGATTCTTCTTTCTTTCTGCCTCTCTGGTTGGGTGTTTTTTGCATCTTCATATTCCAGATCTTTGGTTTGACTCTTGGGGTACGTTGATCTACAGTTGAGTTTCTATATATTCTTTATTTCAGACAGTATGTGCTTAATTTCTGACTAGTACTTTTCCCTTCTTTTTGGTATTCTCATTAAGGTCCTTGAAGGTCTCTTCAAGTTTCTCAGTGGTTTTTAGAAGTTCTTGAGTAACCTTATAAATATGATTCTGAACTCTGTGCCGTCCAGTAGTTTACTTTCCTCCATCTATCCCATTCAAGGCATGCTTCTGTGTCTTCGCATTTTTGTTGCCTCCCTGTGTTGATGGAGTGGCTTTGTGTGGTAGGTGACCTATAGGGGCCAGTAGCTCAGCTTCCCCAATCACCCAAGGTGGTTGCTCTCGGTACACCCCTTTGTGGGCTGAGTGCAAGTCTTGGTTTAGTTAAGCCTTGATTGCTGTTGGTACACTGAGGCCAATTGGCTATGAAGACCCGCTGTTGTTACGCCCAGACTTCGTGATCCCCAAGGACCACCAGGGAGCCGAGTCCAATGCAATAAACAAAAGAGCCTTTACCATGCTAGCATGGGCCCCCCCACTCATGCCGGCAGCATGGCGGAAGAGAGAATTTCTTCCAGTCCAGGGGTTTTTTACTCCGGTCGATGGTGATGTCACTGCCTCGGCTAACCCTGATTGGTTGGGTGAGGGCTAGGGATAACTCCGCCCTTCGGGGTGGAGTCGGGAGCTCATCCTCGCCCCACCCTGCCCTCTCACTGTGTCTATAGTGAAAGAACTGCTGCACTGGAGACACACTTATGGTACAGGCCTTGTTTCAGTGGGGCTTTGGTACTCACTGAATCCACCTCCCAAATGTGTCAGTTATGGATGTGAGGAGTTTAAGTCTTGTGTCTCACACTGACCACTAGATACACTGGCTTCTGGATCTCCAATGGGGTAAAGTTCAGCTTCTGTCTGAGGCCACCCTGCAGGAGCTACAGCAAGAACTAGTCCTCTCCTCCCTGCTTGGAGCTTGGAGGCTTTGGAGCTGTCTGCACCAGGTTGCAAGTTTGCTAGGTTAAACTGCAATAGAGAAGGCCATTCATATGCAAAAGCCGATGCTTGGTGCTTGGGTGTGTTTGTAGATTGTGCTGGGAGGAGTCTCGGGGCATCACTAGGCTAGGGCGTGGCTAATAGTGATAGCTGCCAGTCTCTGCCTCTCTGACTGCATCCCTGCATCTTGCATCCCAGAACAGCAAACAATTATTCTTATGCGCAGCTATGCAAGCAAGCCACCCTCACTTTCTGACCTAATGGCAGACAGTCTAGTTTCTTTCCAGAAACTGGATTTCAAAGAGATTGGGAGCTTGTCTTTCTTCGGGTTGAAGAAAGCAACACCCTCCGCCAGCCAGGATTAACCACCAGCCCATATCACACGTCCCTGTAACTCAGTGTTTCAGCGCTTGTGCCCTGAATGCTCCTTTCTCTTTCAGTCTAGTTGTAGAGCTTCCAC